CATGTGGCAGAGCCAGAGGTCGCGGAGCGAAGTGCTCGAGATGCAGGAGCAAGGCAAGCTGAACGTTCAGCCGAGCGACTGGACGCTCAAGGTTCGAGACCTGGTTGTGAGTCAACAGTGGTGGCTCTAACCTATCCACAAGGTGGATCATCTCTTCGAGATCGACCGATGGGCGGTGAACGTGAACGTTCGCGTCGTGAACGCCGGCGTCGTATAGACGCAGACGTCGTTCCGGCAAGTGCTGACTCTCCCCGCGAGAGCCAAGCTGAGGCAAGGCCTCCTCCTGCTCTGCTCGATGAGCATGGTGAGCTCCACTTTCACGTGGAACGCCTTGTGGCGTGGCGTAGACGCCAGGGTCGTACCCAGTACTTGGTGAAGTGGAGGGGTTACCCTCACTCACAGAGCTCATGGGAGTTTGAGGTTATCCTCCGGCAAGATTGCCCTGACGTCGTTGACGCTTACGACCGGGCACATCATGTGCCGAAGCGCCACCATGGCGTGCGACAGCGTCACCAGGCGCTGGGCGCTTCCCACTAGAGTGGGGAGCGATCAGGTCAGTAGTTGAGCTCAGGCTCTGACCAGTGGCTGCAGCAGCCAGCTCGTACGTATGAGCGGTGCTCGCAGCGGGAGCAGGAGGTGGAGAGACCTCGTGGTGATAGGGACATGGTCCCGAAGGAAGCAGGTGCTTCGTGTTGTGCTGAACAAGGTTCAGGCACAAGCGTCTCGATAGACGCATAGTTGTTTTGAAACAACTTGCTCGATGAGCATGATCCAAATGTGGATGCGCTGTATCAGCGAAAGTGGTGTCCTGAACGGGGATCGAACCACTGGCCTTTGGCTTGACAGGACGGAGCTCTACCATTGAGCTATAAGGGCGATGCCCGTACGTCAGTCCGAGAACGGACTACTCATGGTATGAGAGGGCTGCGCCCGGGTGGATTTGAACCACCGACCTGTGGCTTCCAAAGCCAACGCTCGACCACTGAGCTAAACGGGTGTTGCCCTTAAGCTTGCCCAAGCGTGGACAATCGTTCATGGAACGAGAGGGCTGTGCCCTGGTGGGTTCGAACCACCGACCTGTGGCTTCCAAAGCCAACGCTCGACCACTGAGCTGAAAGGGCGTTGCCCTTAAGCTTGCCCAAGCGTGGACAATCGTTCATGGAACGAGAGGGCTGTGCCCTGGTGGGGTCGAACCACCGACCTGTGGCTTCCAAAGCCAACGCTCGACCACTGAGCTAAACGGGAGTTGCCCTTAAGCTTGTCCATTCAAGGACAACAGTTCATGGAACGAGAGAGCTGTGCCCTGGTGGGTTCGAACCACCGACCTATCGCTTGTGAAGCGAGGGTTCAACCGCTGAGCTGTTGTCGACGACTCGAATGAGTCAAGAGCATTGCTCTAAGCAGTTTGCAACTCTTGGAGTAGGCGCGGAGCGCGAGCGTAGGTCTGAGACCGCTTGAGAGCAAGATGCGCGCCGCGCTTGGAATCGTTGGTCCGTGGGCCGACGACGAGAAGCTGGGCATCAACGATGCGTAGGCGTTTGTGAGCTCACGGAGCTGTACAGCGCTGGTGTGAGATGTAGTAACCTCCGCCGTCTTAACAAGACGTGACCTTGCTGAGGAAAGTTTCGAGAACGGAATGTTCTCATCTTAGTGGGGGAGAGTGTAACGGGGTTACATGGTGTGGAACACACAGGGGTACGAAGTACCCGGAGAGTTAACAAACTATCAGTACATAAGTTGGAGAGCTAACAAGGTCTCTCAGTACGTTGGCTGAAAGCCACACGTTATGCATTTGATTAGGTTTAACTATGTTAGATAGTTAAACAGATACATTTACCCCTAGGCGGCTTGGCCGCAATAAGAGTAAATAAAACACTTCTGGTTTTGAAGCATAAAAAGTTAAGGTATTAACTTTGAGCCCTGGTCTTGGGCTGTAAGTGTCCTTTGGATAAGGAACTTAGTATTAGTGACTCTTTGAGTCGAACGTCTTCCTCTGACGCTAAAGCTACGGCAGCCCCGCTGCACTGTGCGCTCAGATTTTCTTTAGGTTCGATAGAAGAGAGCGTCAAGAGTAGGAACCGGTGGGACGTGCACTCCAAGTCGTCGAAATAGCCATTTGAAGTCCAAATACTGGTATTGCCGGTATTACCAGCTGTGTCGTGCACTGTAATGATTGCTACATAGTGACAATCGCTACTGGTCCAGTACGAGTCCAGACGAGTCCGGAAGCTCGCCCGCGACACGGGCTTCGACAGCCTCGCTCACTAGCTTCACGTACTTTGATAGAGTGTCCTCAGAGATGGTTCCGAGAGCGGAATTCAGTCTCGCGAGGCGGTGTTTCAACGAACTCTAACGCAAACCGTCCGGAGATAGCCCACTCAAGCCAGCGGTAGAGATATCGAGCACGCTGCCTGGTAAAACGTAGGCTTAGGTGATTTTGGCGGCGTGCAGCTTCCTAGGCCTCTTGCTCATAGTCGGCATGGCTGCGACGCAGGTGATTGAGTAGGTTCGTGTAGCAATTTTCCTTCTTGTAGGTCTTGCCACATGTCGTGCAGGTATGCATGTTGCCTCCAACTGCGGTAAAAGCATGGACTACTCGTAAGAGCCATCGCGGACTGAGAAGTTGACTGAGTTTTTAAAGAAAATTTGAGAATGACCTCAGGATTTAAAGTCGTTATAGAGCATTCACAGCAAATGGTGGAGAACGAAGACTGGTATTGTTGGTTGTGGAATCTATAGGCAATTGACCCCGATATTAACTGTTTAGATTTAAAAATGGAATCAATTTTTGTGAGTATTATTTTTAGGGCCCCCTGAAATTCTGCATACATTGAACAAGCTCGATGCGGATCCAGACGGCTGTTTGTGCAAAGTTTACAGCGTCAATATGCGCACTGGTCTGAAGTGATGTCAGTGCCACCACGAGCGCTAGCTGGACTCCGTACAATTTTCAGAGGGGACGGTCAAAAAGCGCGGGGAAAGCAGGTGTCACTGTTTTCTTTTTTTAATCGACCTTTACAGAACATACCAAATCATCAGTTTAGTACCTCTGAATAATGATAAATGTCCTTTTTGTATTACTAACGAAAATTTCCGATTAATATAATTAAAAGTACCCTGATTAGATGAGAAAAGTTATTCTTACGTAAGGAGGTACATTTTGCCTCCTTTAATCTTTCGAACATCACTTCAGCGTCCGACTTCTAAAAGATTTTTTATAAGGTGCCAAAGTTTGGTGGTGCATTAGAACCCGCCAATGCAATATCATCTGGTATAGTATTAGGATTGATCGATAGCTCTTCTGAACAAAGAAACGATACGATGACATCGTCGATCAGGCTTGGACCGTTTTAAAGTGGTTTAGATATTAAAGAAAAACTAGCGTGAATGTACTTAATTTCAGTGAGGCTACCCTTGGCTACTGCGAGGGTACGCGATGAGGGTAATATTTGGGCTAGAGAGTATTATTCGGGAATTTCCTTTTTTCACTAATGAAAGAATTTATCTTAAGTTTGTAGACCCTCTCACCCACCTTATTTGAAGAAAATTACTATTGAAGATATCAATATAATGATCCTAAGGCTCGTCTGTAATCAGGTAAGCTTGGACATGTAACCTAAGTGTATAGAGCACAGCGATTTCGTGCGGATGGACAAGGGCTCGAATTCCGTCTTGTCCGATAAATGTTATTGGTTAAATTCCGATGCTTTGGATTTTTTAATTCATCACAAATAAATACTTACTCTGTATTCTAATTATAATAACTCTGTACAGAAATACTTAGGACAGTATTTGTTTTAGTGTGGTGCACACAAGTTTGAAGATGCTGCTCCGTAGAACCTCAACTTTAGGAGTGTATCTCACTAAAATCAAGTGAATTTTGAGTACTGTACATTGTAGCGTCTCTTGTCGTGTCACAGGTGCATCATGTCAACATACTGCATGTCAGCTGAAAGCATCGGTACATCGACTGAAGTCATTTCAAGCCTGGTAATTTACTGCATCGGCTCACAACGAGCAGATGCGAGCTCGTTTGCAGCGACGTTGGTCGCGAGCAATACATGTACAGTACTGTACTGAACAATCGCCGGGTCGCGCCCAACTGTTCACAGCTACGTATTAAAATAGTGTGCTTATGTTACGCGTGCAAAAACAATACTGGTGTTTGGAGACTCGTAACATAATCATCACCACTTGTCCTTCCCTGTGTGCAATTTGTTCTCTCTAAAGGCCTTTTACCCATCAGTACTGATACATGTTATCATCTTGTACTTGCACTTCAAGAATAAACCGCCACATCTTATCCTCAAACAAACCAAAAGAAAGTGGCCCGTCTATTCTGATTACCTGCCAAACCCATCGTGTCAGCTTTCCGAGTATAAAAAAGCAAACGATTTTCTTTCCCACCAATCGCCACCATTTCCAAACCGTCGCGCCCGTACGCAAGTCTCGTAGAAAGACCGCTCCTCTCTCACGCGCAAAGGAAACTACAGCTACCCACCCAACGCCTTGGAGTGACTCCCCCGTTGCAGGACTAGTTGCAACTTCCCTCCATACACTCCGCTTGCTTGAGTCTCCACTCAACGCGAGCTCGAAACTATTAAAGAGGGAGTTTTGCCACCCCCGCTGCATGGCGAAATTTGCCGACTGCATTACCTGGACAACCCTCGACGTCGTGTACGTAACTGCACTTTTGCATTGCCATTGGAGATGGGTTAGCCTTGGCCTTTGTATGTGGAGACCCGTTGCTATTCTTAGCGACGGCCGGGACTCTTCGGGTTGTGCCACAGTCTCTTTCCAAGTCTCAGTGTTACACGAAACTAACCTTAATATGTGTACGTCATTCCCATTGTACAGCTTATCCAAGAATTTCCCCATACACCACTCACTAGGCACCTCATCTCATCAGATTGCGAAGCGCCTTAAAACAACTTTTTAATCGCTCAGAGCTCCAGGTTTCCCCCAACTGTCCGACTAGTCAAGCAGAGACTAGGAGGACGATGGGGATGATTACGGCCAATGTCGGCGAGGACGACGGATCTGGCGCGGGGGAGAGTGGTGGCGATAGTCCCAGTGGCAGTAGTAGTGGCAATAGCGGCTTAATACGAAACCATGGGCACAAGGCGGCCACTCCGTCCGCTGCCGCCCGAACCAAAGACCAAGTTAAACGTCGGCAATCCGCCGACGCGACTGCCACTAAGCCAAAGCCCAAACCACGAAGCGAGGCCAAAACTGCCCGGAAAGTTAAACTCCAACACTTGGACTCTAAGACGACGACCATGCCACGTCATTTTGGGTACGGTACTATCAAGTCAAGTACAGTAGATCTACCCGGTGATGCGACTTCGTGGAAATCGAACGTTGAAAAGTGGAACTTGGAGACGCTGAGCCCACGAGTCGGCTCGAGGATCAAAAAGCAGTTCAATGGACCTAATCGCCAGGCATGTTCGAAAGCGACCTTGCATTTCGGATCGGAAGAGTCTGGAGATGACTCGGAGACATCCAGCAGCTCGTACAGCTCGTCCAGCTCTAATAGTCCCACTAGTGCAGTGGCAATCCGAATTCGATCGTCATCGTTTTCAGCTGCAGACCGATGGGAAGCGCAAGTGCAACAGGCCAAGACACACAAGTCTCGCAACGTTGCGGAAGAACTACCACTACTTCAGTACACTCGAGATTCGGAGACTGATATTGAATCAGGTATTCTTCTGGAAGAAGAGGAGACTGATACACTTCCGGAGATCAAGACGGAGATCCTGAAGCTCATCACACTAGCGAACCCGGTCATTTTTACATATGTGCTGGAGTTTTTCCCTGCTTTAGTGAGTATGACGCTAGTTGGTCATTTGGATTCGCCGTTGACCAAGCAATACCTCGATGGCGTGGCTTTATCGACCATGGTATTAAATCTCACAGCAATCGGCGTGGGATTCGGATTGGCCACTGCCATGGATACACTATGCTCTCAAGCGTATGGTGCTGGCAAACCAAAGAAACTGGGCATCTATCTTCAAAGTGGTCTAATCGTGTTGGGAGTCGTGATGATCCCCGTGTTTTTCATCAACTGGTATACTGAAGCTCTGCTTCTTATGATTGGCCAGCATGCACAAGTTGCAGCGTTTGCTGGACGCTTCAGCCAGATCCTGTTGCCTGGTATCCCTGCTATGTATGTGTACGAGATGTTGAAGAAGGTGATGCAAGCCCAGAATGTCGTACTACCCATGGTGTACATTGCCGTGATTAGCAACGTGCTAAACCTCGTCTTGGGCGTCTATCTGACATTCTACACGTCGTTGGGCTTCGATGGTACAGCCATTGCACGTTTACTGTCCGAGATGGCACTACCGTTGTGTCTGATTCCGTATTTCTTGCGTAATCCTCATATCCCGGCTGAGTGGTGGCCTGGCTGGCGTACGAAGGAAGCGCTGAACCATTTGGGTATCTTTTTGAAACTGGGTATCCCCGGTGCGGTGATGTTGTTGTTCGAATGGGTATCGTTCGAAATTATGGCGGCAGTCATTGGCTGGTTGCCCGACAGTGTCGTTGCTATCAGTGTGCATTCCGTCCTGGTGAATGTGTCCACTTTTGCGTACAATTTTTTCCTGGGTATTTCGGTGGCTGCAAATGTACTCGTGGGCACTTACTTGGGACGCAACAAACCTCATCACGCGAAAATGGCCTCGACACTCGGCATGATGTTGTCGATAACGTTGTCAGCAGCTCTCGTCGTCCTTATCATCGCGACTCGATATTATATCCCGGAGATCTTCATCAACGATGCCGTGTCTATTGAGTTAGCTGGCCACGCTATGTTGTTCCTGATGCCGTATCAGATGTGTGATGCTGTCAACGCTGTAATGCAAGGTGTGCTCCGAGGCACGGGACGACTGTCACTAGGTGCGTACATCAACCTGGTCGCGTATTTCGTGCTTGGGCTGCCTATTGGTGCGTATCTGGCCTTCGGGATGGACATGGGCGTCGAGGGAATGTGGCTCGGTCTCACTGGCGGCATCTTCTTTGGCTGTGTCGTATCGTTTGTCAAGATTTGCGAGACGGACTGGAAAGTTATGGCCGACGACGCGCGTGTGCGCACAAGCTAAGCGCCTATAGTCGTGCTGCTTGATTTCCTTCATTTTTGCGAGAAAGCCTCAGTTGCTGTTTATTTTTCCCGCGTTGTGGCTGTGGCGCTTTCTCGTTTACATTTTTCTTTTTTTCCTCTAGCATCTTGCGTTTAGCAGATTCAATATGAATGCCCGTCATCATTTCTTGTTGCGTTTGTTTAAGTTTGTGGTAGAAACTGAGGCACCTCACGTAGAATTTGATTTTTGAAGAACGTTTACAGGATACTACTAGTATCTCTTAGTCCAAACGTAGGGCGCAGGTCCCTCTCGCCAGTTATTGCCTGAAAATGACTCAAAAGGTGGTCTGAACTGCCCAGAAAGGCCGCAGCACGCAAGCTCCTCAAGCTTCTTCAAAGTAGCGGCGAATGTGAAGTAAATATTTGAAAGCCAATGTTCAGCCATACAAGCTTCACTTTCTTCTTCAAAATGTAATCCCTCGCTGTCGCATTGCGTGTGTGTTCTCCAGAACAGCGATACACGTAATTTCGAAACAATCTGACATCTCACCGAGAAGCCCTTGTTCGTCACTGACTGACAGATGAGTGTCCAGAGTCTGGACTCCTGCCACTTGATCTACCACGCTGGACAGTTCCGCTTAGGCATGGCGGCTCCGGTGGAGCGCTTTCTCTCGGGTCGGTGCCACTGGCTGTCGGAAAGCAAGGGAGCGTTATTGCACGACTTACCTCGTACCTGTCGAGACGATGCCGAAACCCGTGGCGATTTCTAAATTCCTACCTGCTCTCCTGATTCCGGAGTCGGACCGCTCGCTACTTCAGGAGCTAGCGATGACGCTCGTAACGCACAATCTCGAGCAGTATAACAAACTATGCGTCACCAAAGACGGACACCCAGACAGTCGACAGTGGGTCTCTACCCGTAAGAACGACAAGATTCGCATTTATCGAGAGCGACCTCAGGCCACAGGCGATTCTCTACCAGCTATCCCGTCGCTATTGCTTCTAGGTTCAGTGGTCGGTAGCTTGGAGGACGTCATGTATGGCGTCGTGGCGCCTACAGATGAGTCGTTAAAGGTCAAGTCCTCGTGTATCCGTGACGGTGTTGTCGACAGCAAAGTGCTCGAGGAGATTGTGCGCCCCACCATGGATAACCCCTTCCACCACGTGAGTCTACAGTGGCGTCTTTACAATGATCGAGACTACGTGACACTCGATACAACGGGTATTACGCAAACTCCGTGGGGCGAGCGTGTTGGCTATAACGTATCACACTCGGTAGGCTTCCCTCAATTACCGGCGTTCACGAATCTCGGTATTGAGAGAGGAAACATGTCGGTGTGCTCGATTTACAGCCAAAAAGCCAACAACAAAGTCGATTGCTACACCCGTGGGTTCTTCGAATTATCGACAGAAAGGCATCTCCACACAATCCTGGCGCTACAAACTATTGCCAGTCAATGGCTTTCCTTATCACGTAACATAAAGTGCGCACAGATGAAGAAGCTCGCATGGAGGCTACGCAAGAACAGCGATGAGTCCGACTTACTACAGCTTGCGTTGCTGCAACCTAAGCAGAAACATGCTAATTCGACATGTCGACTGTGTGCCAAGAACTTCAGCTTTCTACCGGTAAGGAAAAGGACCTGTAAGAGCTGCTTCCGCGCCGTGTGCTCGCGCTGTTGCGTCAAGAAACTCGTGTGCGCGGTGGCGCCAGACCAGTGCTCAATCCTTGAAAAGAAACGCACTTTTTGCTCACGCTGCATTCACGAAGTCGAACACAGTGACGCTGTGGCCATCGCCAGGGATGAACTGGTGACCTTGCGAAAGGATATCGAGAGCACAGAATATGCGCTCTAAAATAAAAAAATATCTTTTAGAACTAGCTGATTCTTTTTTTTCTTTCTTACATCTTGTAGGTCGTGAAGTGGATATCGTCCAATCAGATCTTTTTTTATTATGGAGAGTTCGGACAGGCGGTGGCGTACTTCCACTGACGTCGATGAGCCTCTTCATGCGTCATTTGGTAGAACCTTAGGTTGAGTCATGCTCTCTCCACCTCATTTTCGTCATTGGCTCAGCTGGTCTCCTCTTAGCCTGCTTCGATAGAGTGACACATTGACTTTCGCCGGGTGACGCGAAAGTCCCCAAGATGAAGCGTTCATTACCGGTATCTTCGTTGAAGCTGGCAGATCTACTGCCAGAGCTCTCGGTGTCTGACGCGGACCAAGAAATGCTACGAGACCTGGCCAGCGATCTGGTCACACACAATCTGGAGCAAAGCAACACGCTGATGGTCACTAAGAAAGGGTACCCAGAATCGATCACAGGCCAATGGAAAGAGATGCGACGCAAAGACGGAGTGAGAATCTTCCGCGAGCGCCCAGGATCTGATCGAGGCAGCGCACCCTTCACACCGTCATTGTTATTACTGGGAACAGTGGATGGAACGGTGGAGGATGTAATGTATGGCGTAGTGGCAACTACGGACGCTGCGATGAGGATCAACTCTACGTACGTGAACGACGGCATGCTGGATACAAAAATGCTATGTGAGCTGGTAGAACCGTCGATAGAAGACCCATTCTACCACGTTGGTATCAAATGGAAGCTCTTTAGTGAACGAGACTACGTTTCATTAGATACAACCGGCATCCTACGTTTCAGCAACGGGGAACGGGTTGGGTATAATTTATCTCATTCCGTTGCGTTCCCGGGCCTACCAACATTTACAAAACATGGCGTTCTACGTGGCAATATGTCGATGTGCTCGCTCTACCGACAAAAGACCCTAACGACTGTTGAGTGCTATGTTCGAGGGTTCTTCGACTTTCCCACTAAAGGCGAAATGCTCAACAATGTTGCACTGCAAGCTCTGGCGTCGCAGTGGCTGTCATTTGGACGCAAAGTCGAGTGTGGGCGCACGAAGAAGCTCGCGTGGAGACTACGTAGGAATAGTCTCGATGCTCGCAGCTCAGACGGTAGTAATGCCAGCACCTGTTCAAGCTGTGCTTCGTCGCCAAGTGTTAGGACCTCCCAGCCATCTACTCGACCTGGGGTGTGTGCCCGTTGCTCTCACAGCTTCGGATTTTTCGGCACCAGTCGCGAGATCTGTAGAAGCTGCACGCAATCATTCTGTACCCGGTGCATAGTGAAGAAAGTTATGTGCGCGATGGCCCCCGACGGTCGCACTGTACAGGAGAAGAAGCGTCCATTCTGTCGAGAGTGCGTTGATGATGCCGCGATGAGTGACACACTTGCCATCGCTCGAGATGAGCTTGCGTTCGATCAGGACGACTTCCAATACAGTAGTGAGGCTTTGAAAGGCTTTGCTGCCAAAAGTATCCCGATGCCGGAGCCTATTACACGTCGGCGTAACTACATGTAATTGTTGTAATCTAGCTAGTACTCGTAATACTTCGACGCATTTGTACAGTAATAGCGATCCTTCAACAGGGTGACACCAATAGCTGTAGTGCGCTTTCTTAAACATCTACTTTAATAAAAAATGTGATCATCGTTAGAATAAAATGTACTTCGAAGTAGTGGTGTCCATGTACAATTAGTTGATGTTTTTGCCGGAGTGATTACCGCAACCGTAAATTGAGACATTTATGGTCGTTTTAAAGACTTTATGGTTGCGTTACCCAAATTCATAAATTACCTGCGAAACTAAAATAAAAAAAACGCTTCCGTCTTAGGTACGTACGTATCTGTTCTTTTAAGTTCGATTCGTTTTAAATACGATCATTCTGAGCCTCCCATTTCAGAAATTGCGCGGGAGCGAGAAGAACGCGCGGCTGCGCCAGGAACACGAGCTCCACACCCGACGCTGATGCAACTGAAGACCCATGAGTCGTGCGCAGGACGCGGCCAAGCCTGGTACGTACTGCAGTACTTGCGCCTGACGCAGCAAAAGTTAGTTTGACCTTATGTGCGAATCCGTAGACTGGCGAGGACGTACGAGGCTGCGAGATCTGTATGCGGTAATTGGCATCGAAGACGCCAACGACAGCAGTAGCGATGATAGCAGAGACGAGGATGCGTCTGCGGGCGAGGAGGATAGCAACGCGAAAGAGGAAGATTCCTTTTCGGAGTCAAAGAGTGATCTATCATTGAGCGCTGGTACGCACGTTTGCTGTCATGTTAATTTTTTGCGATGGGCAATTACTTATATTAACACTGGGGTGCGTTTTGCAGCTCGTGTGCAACGCAAGAAGACAAAGAAAAAGAGAAACGAGAAGACACACGCAGGTAAAGTTGCTTTAAAGCGGTTGTGTTTGATTTAGCGAAGGTAATTTTATATTTAATTTGTTATTTTAGCCTCTACGAAGAAAGAGAAGTTAATCCGCGAGTCACCACACCTGCAGTCGCTGCCGCGTCCCTCCAAGAAGCAGACAACTGGGGAACAGTCGGGTCCGGCGGAAGGTACACAGCGTGAGCGATCCAGACTTACACGCCTGCCCAAATCCACTGCAGATTACACGCCTAGAATCCGAAAAAGTAAGCACCTTGAAGAGATGGACTCCATGAACGGTGGTGGTGAGGACGAAATAGTGAACGTGGTGAAGCCGTTCAGGCCGAAGGCACCACTTTTGTCGTGGATTGATTTTGAAAAGGAATTCAAGAAATACACGGGGAAGAAGAATTTAAAGTTTCGTGTGCGGAGCTCCGAACGAACGGCGTCTTACAACACGTACGCTTGTTTTACTGGTGTGATCTGTCTAAATATATTCATGAAGAGGAATGCTCTTATTTTGTTTTAATATAGCGCGCATCAAGCACAAATCCCTACTTCGTTTGAGTATTCGGAAAGAATCTACCGGTGCACTCACGGTGTATCCCAAAAATCAAGGTCCAAGGGGCATCGCAATCGAAAGCAGCGGTACTGCAAATGCACAGCACGTTTAACGGCCACCGTGAGTCGCGTTTCGGGCAATCACTACGAAATCGTGCTACGAAACCAGGTTCGAGACTTATTATTAATGTGTGCGTGATAAAGAATCCGGCTGACATCTATAAACTTGTTGCTGTTTCAGAACCACACCCACTCGCACGACAACAGCAGAACACAAGCTTCAAGTTACTTGACAACGGCGACGCTGCCGCTGGACGAACAAGATCTGGAGGATGTGAAAACATTGGCAGATGCGTGTGTTTCTTCTACCCACATCACCAATTTCCTGAACGACCGCATTGGTTAGTTGTTCATTTTTTATTATGGGTGGTATTATTCAATCTAACCGACTGGTATGCAATGTCTTACGCTGTAAAGATTGTAAAGTGACACCACAGGAAACCAGAAATCTTCTCCGAAGTATCATGGGGCCAGATTCCGCTCAGGATCGTATGAAAGACTTGCTGCATGCTCTGCGACAGATTGAAGGAAGCGATGTGCTCGCTATCCAGGACCAGATGGACATCACCTGTGGAGCCATCATGCAAACGAAAGTGCAAAAGATGATGTTTGAGCGGTGGGGTGAAACCTTGACGATGGACTTCACGCACGGAACGAACAATCTTGGCTACCATTTAGGTACGTTCAGAAAAGCAACCTTATGTTTATAGCAACCTTAAGCGCAACCTTAATTTTTTACAACAGCCTTGAATCTCATTTGGTTGCTACTGTTGTGTAGGGAGCTTGGTTGTCACTACGTGTACGGGTAGAGGGTTCCCAGTGGTTGACTTTTTTTGCCTCAGTGAGAACGCTGTCACGATTAAAACGATCTTGGAATATTTCAAGGACAAAGATCCAAAGTGGAAAGACGTCACGAGTGTGGTTATCGACAAAGATTTTGTAGAGTGGCAAGTGCTAGAGGAGTGCTTTCCAACCGCCCAGGTGCTACTCTGTCAATTCCACGCCATTACATACTGGAAAAAAGTGATGAAACGCAAAGTATTTGAGCTCAAGATGGCACAGAGAGAAGAACTTATCGAGTTGCTGACGAAGATGCTGTATTGGTGCGTTACAGTCAGCAAATTTCTCTTTTGCCTTTTCACTCATTTGTTGTGGTTACTGGCAGCCGCTCACAAGACGCGTATGTATCTGCATATGATGCAATGAAGAAATACTGCAAAAAGTCAAGGAGGAGCAAATTCTTTGCGTATTTTGAGAAAAATTGGCATTCGTGTCGACAAATGTGATCGAACTATGAACGCGAAAAACATTTTACTGCTGGTAATACGACAACTAACAGGATCGAGTGTAACTGGAAATACTTGAAGATGCTTCTTGGCCTCAAGACCAGAATTGACAAGACGTTGGCGGGTTTACTCCAGCACCAGATGATCATCACGCGGCAGATTACATCTGAAATCGGGAAACAGCATTCTTCCTCTCGATTGTCCAAGACGGTTCCTACATTTTTAAGGGCCATATCAAGGAGGCTCTCTCCGTTTGTGTTGGATCTGCTGAAAAGAGAATGGGAAAAATTCGTGAACCGAGCTGAAAGCACAAATTGCGAGCGCAAAGTATCCGTTTCGAAATGGGATGTTTATGGAGGTCATCACAAATACGAGTGTGACGACGTTGAGTGGATCTGTACCTGCTTATTTTATACAAGCCACCACTTACCGTGCTGTCATCTCATGCATGTTGCCAGCCATGGCCATGGTTTCAATGTGCTACCTGGAATCTCTGTCCACGAACGATGGAGTACTTTCGACGCGTTGGACACTAAAGAAGAGCTCTGTTTAGCAGCCGATGCGCTTCAACCAATTGTCAATACGTCAAAGTTAAGGTTGCCGAGACCGATAAGGTTGCCGAACGTGTACGAAGATTCACGTCCTTTCGAATGGAAACAATCACATGCGGCATCCGACAGTGAGAAAGAGGTTGTATTTGTTCGATTGGGCCGGGACGAACGTGCAAACCAAGTTGTGCTGACATCTGGTGAAAAGTACTCGTACGCAAAGGCAATGCTAGAGCCACTGCTCCAGCATCTGTCCGAATTGGCCAGTGCTGATTTTTATCGAGAGCTTCAAGATTGGAAAGAAACCGTTGAAGTTGGATTACGAGGGAGGCAAATGGCTTCGACTCCGTGTAGAGACAGCAACAACGATGAAGACGTTGATGAAGACATGGATTCTTTGTTTGATTTTGAAAATGCAGTGGTCACTGCTAGTATTATGGAGGGGCTACAAAATATGGATGCCAACACTGACGGTAGCAGCGACTGTGAGGACGTCCCATCAACGCAGAAAGCTATAGAAATGTCACGGAAGCCCATAATCGTGAGCAAGGCACAATCGCCGGTATCCATCACAGATGAAGCTGATAACAAGAATGCAGATGATTACGAGAATGCAGATGATTACGAGAATGCAGTTGATTACAATAAAGTCGAAAATTGTGAGGTTGGTGAATCTGCTGTACATCCAACTACCGACCCAGCGATGCCTACGCGGCAAGTGGATATCATAAACGTCCCAAAGCCGAAGACCCGATGGAGACAACGATCAAATCCGAAGCAGCTAAGACAGACAAAGCTTACCTCGGCTCATACTCGTCTCGCCGTGCACAAATACCCTAGCGATCTTACCGTACAGCTTGACGAGTTTGTCGTTTGGGCTCGCAACACAGAGAATGTCAGAGCTGTGGCGGGCATTATAGACAAATACCCTGCCCAACTAGACGATGCGTACCTCAGGGGTCGCACAATCGAATGCAGCTAGGAAGCTGTACGACCAGCTACGTACATGCACCCATTTGTAATCCCTGGAGACATCACGCGGTCAATGCAAGCTTCAATCAAGACAGCTAAGTCCGAGCAACGTCACCCAGATCCACTCGACGACCGCATCAAGAAACAAGGAATCGTGCTCGATCTCGTGGCTTCTATCGACCCCAAACTTTGGCAATTCAGCGGGTAAGGTTGCCATTCTCGTATGGTTGCTTTTTATGGTCGTCATATTGTGGTTGCTATAAATATGAGCTGTGATTTGTACTAGACAATACGTGGGAGCTGCAATTACATTCTACGCGGTAAAGGCCAAGGTACAAGCATGGCTCGAAGATCGGAAATGGTTGGAGAAAAACTGGCGGAAGGTAAACTCCGATGTGGATCTATTTGCTGTGGAGACTGAAACGAGTGGGCTATCAGTTGATGCTGTAAAGGAGCGACACTGCACCATGGCAAACGAGGTGATTTCAAAGTTTGCATCCAGTCGACTGAGTTCTGAATACACGACACGGTCGGGTAAGGCCTGCATCGCCTTCGAAAACGTTGTTGGTGGACTCTGTAGAGGATGGCTGAATGATAGCCCAATTGACTTCTGTTTGGAATTCATTGGAAGCACGATGCGGGATTGCTACGTCCTGTCATCATTGACGGCAGCTGTTGGATGGCCAAAGACACCAAACACGCGTATCACGTCTACCAAGTTCATGATTCAACCTGTCAACCTGAACCAAAGCCACTGGGGTATCATAATAACTACGCTACGCTACGTTGAAGCCAAGGACACATTACATGTGCATCCCTACCTGTATGAGCCCCTGATTGACGAAGGTTATCATGGGGACATGGAGGTGGTTTGGAACGGTGTTAAGGACGGCGATGGTAACTCAGTTATGGAAGGGCTTTGTGGTTTTGTGGCGAGATGGAGTAAGGCATCAGCACCTGCGGCAAAATCATGCATAGACCCTATTGAGTGGATTGAAGTTCCACAGCAACCCGACTACTCAAGGTGTGGCGTGTTTGTTGTGGCCCAAGCTTACAGCTATGTGACCGCGAATCTTCGCTGGCAATGCAGAAACGTTTCCAAGAGTGATGTGGAAGCTATGCGTCTCCGAATGCTGTGGATAATACTCTGTAAATCGAGCAAGAGCCGTATGGCTCGTCGCACTGTGGATAATACGAAGTCTATTAATGAGAAACTGCTCAAGCAACTGAAGTGGGTAGATGTAGCTGTGTTATCCGTTAATACAAAAACCGCTAGCATACTACCATACTACCCATTCAATCTGTTGACTGCCATTTCTAGCAAAGCTCCGAAGGATAGGTGCCCGTCTTGACTCGCACCAGAATTGGCAATCTCAGACGCCAGCACGTAGATGCTCTCCTATTTCACCTCGATGCGTGACAGTAACTCCATCTGAGCTATTAGTATCTTCTCGAGGCTTGCGCCGATCTTTTCAAGCGTGTTCTTCATGTCCATGAGCTCGTAGATGCGCGCGCGCACCAGCTCCCGAGCGAGCGACCTTCCGTCCATCCTTGCTGCGATGTTGGATCCTTGAAATATTTGCTAAGTGAGAAAAAATGTGTTCCACACAGTGTAGTGTAAGAAACACACCCAGGTGTGGTGCACACACATTTAATGCTGTTTCAATAACTCTAAATTTAGGATGTTGTGGCGCTATTTACACTGGTATTGATGACGGCGACGACGTGGCCACGTCATTTATTATAAATTACCAGAGACCATATGTTTTTGTGGTCGCTTTAGGCGATAAGGTTGCATTATTTCCTGTCGTCTTGTCGTTTTGTGGTTGCAGTAAGAGCATCTCCAGCGGTAGGCTCTAACGATGGTTTTATCCCAAAAGTTGCGCAAATAAATCTCTCGACAAGTTTTTTTGCCCCACCCGTTGGTGGTATTATTAGTTTTAACTTCAGGAAGACTTATATTTCTGGTCCAAGGACTTTATATAAAACCTCAGTCTAACGAAAGGAAACCTTCGATCTCAGCACCGACACGGAAACTTGCAGTACGATGGGGAAGGGCTTAGCGTGGAGTGAGAGCGAGACCATACAGCTTTGCCTGTCGTGGCTGGAGGTATCGGAGGACGCAGTGCGTGGGTGCAGGACAGAAGAAGAGCACGTTCAGCAGTCGCTTGTACAGCCACTGGCTGGAAAACAAGAGACCAGAAGACAAGGATCCACGAACGGAGGTCGCGATAATGGGGCGATGGAAGAAACTGCAGCCAGAAGTAACGAAGTTCTGCGGTATATATGCGAAGGTCACCAGCAGAGAGCGATCAGGATGGAATGACGCTATGTATCTGGACGCCGCGTTGAAGGTTTACCCAGAGCGACGCAAACAGCCGTTCGAGTTTCTTGCGGCGTGGAAGGAGCTCAAGGACAAGCCCAAGTGGACCAACAAGATCACTTCGGCCTCATCTATTGGAGTCAAGCGAGGAACAAGTGACGTTGCGTCTTTGGAGAGACCAGAAGGCCGCAAAGCAGCAAAGGCGGCTAACGCCAAAACTAATGAGAGTCATGGAAGTGCTGGAGCTCGAACGATTGGGGGTGAAGCTCACCTTAGGTTCGTTGTTGCCACAGAAAAGAAGGTCGCTGTGATGGAGCAAAGTCTCCATCTATCTATCTTCTTGCAGAATCCCGCTAGCTACGAATCACAGGAATATTTTACTATGCAGCGAAAAACCATCCTCGCCAACATGAGGAAGACACTTGCTGTTTCACAAGAGCGCCAGCAGTTACAACAAAGCGAAGAGCTAAAAACACCTGAGCGTTCGTTCATGGAACCGCACGTGGCAGGACTACATAATGGCGAGGGTGAAGAAAGTGAAGTTGCTGACAATCAAATCAGTACTTTAATTTAGCTGGGCTTCTGCACGTAGTCTAGCTTAAAAACCTACTACACAGGATCCAGAGAAAAGTTTTGCTAGCCGAGATCACCGTAGCACTGCCATACGTGTTCGATCAAATCCGTTTTTAATTCATAGTGAAGCTCTTCGTCTTCAAGCACTTGCATCGCGTTTGCTATCATTGCGACTGGGCACTCATCCGGTACACCAACTTCTGCCGGGCTGACCCATTCATCTTCAAACAGGTACTGATGATTTAGCGAGGTAATTCGCTGCTCGTCTTCCACAATCATGTTATGGAGGATGATGCATGCTAGCATTACATCATTCAGTGCATCGACACTCCATAGTTTACAGGGCAGGGCAAGAATTCGAAAGCGTTGTTGTAATACTCCAAATGTGCGTTCAACGTCTTTGCGAGCGGCTTCCTGCTGGGCAGCGTAACATCTACGCTTGTTGCCTTGGGGCGCACTGATACTGGATTGGAAAATTGCCCAGGCAGGATAAATTCCATCTGTAAGATAGTATCCCTGATTGTACGTCGCACCATTCACAGTGAAGGAAATCCTGGGAGCAACACCGTTTACCAGGTCATTCAACAAAGGTGAACGCTCGAGTACATTCAAATCATTGTTGGCGCCAGGCATGCCATAGAATGCATGCCAAACCCATAACGACTTAGAAGCCACGGCTTCCAAGATCACCGTCGAACACTTCTCTTTTCCCTGAAAAGCTCCTTGCCATGCCGTTGGACAATTCTTCCATGTCCAGTGCATACAGTCCAAGCTACCAATCATACCCGGAAATCCGCGCTCAGCATTCTCGGCAAGAAGTATTTTCAAGTCATCCTTGGTCGGCTTTCGAAGATACTCTGGACCAAATAATCGGATAATATTTTTGCAGAACAGCTTTAAGGTCTCCAACACTGTGGACTCAGCCATACGAATCAACTCATCTAATTGATCTGCTGATGCTCCATATGCCAACATCCGTAAAGCACACGTCACCTTCTGTTCTGGTAGGAAACCAGCACGTCCAGTTGCGTCACTACGCTGGACGAAGTAGCTGCATTCTTCATCCTCAACCAGGGCAATGGTAATGAGCTCAAAGAGGTTACGACGCATACGAAATCGCCTGCGGAAGTCATCTGCATCAGAACGAGTAGCCATGAGCATTAATGGACAGTTTTAAAGGAGAACATGTCGTTTACTCAAATACATACCATCATCGTAGACTGGGTTGTCGCCAAAGTAGTCACTCATTAGGCGTTCACCCCATATTTCTCGATCCCGCTCTTTATTTGCTCTCCTGCCTTTGGTGGACCCGCCGTGTTTGCCCCGCACTGCGCTCGTGTTGTCCACCCCGCCCTCAGGCAACATGTAGGTGAAATAGTACTCTTCTTCCGAGTCGTCGTCCATACTTGACGTCGCCAGCAGTGCTTCACTCCTTCGTGTATTTCTGATAGTGCGGTATCGAGAGAGATCTTTTGTATCGTCGTTTGATTGGACAAAAAAATGTTAAGCCGCGGTGAGTTCCAAACCGCTGTAGACAAGATGCAATCAGGAGTTCTATCCTAAAAATTGAGGTCTCATCCGTCTCAATAGGACTTGCAAATAAGTCTAACCGCTGGAGATGCTCTAACGCCTCTCTGTTTTTGCTAATGAGATTTTGCTCTCTGGCAATCAGAGCAGATGGCTCACTTCCCCTCCAAGCAAAAACAGTAAAGGTGTTTCGCACGTGATTCCCGCTCCAGAACAACAGAACAATGCTCAGCAATAATTTGGGATTCCTTGAAGCCGCGGTGCAGATAATAAAAACAAAAGGTCGTGAGTTTCCCACCGAAATAGCCCCCAGACTGTCTAGGTTCTACGTACCTATGTTATTTTATTTAAAATGAAATACTTTGTAGTAGCTTACAAAAATCTAGGTGTATTAATAGCTTTAAATACTTTTTTAGAAGCGCTTTAGCATAAACATGCTTTTCCTTTTGTAGGTCAGCAAAAGTGCTTTTTATCGTCCCCTCGTTTAGGTCCTCCTAAACCTTTTCTTTTTTCTTTGATTTTCGAACATTATTTTCAGGACAGGTCTCCACAAACCATGTCATTTCACAATTGGGGCTCCTGTTTCCGAGTCGATCGCTCATATTATGAGGACGCAGGACTTGGCACACTACCACATACCACATAAGCTCGATCTATGTGTGTCGGACGTGGCATCGCTACGGAAACTGGCCGACACGTTGGCGACGCACAACATTGAGAGCTACAGATCGCTACAGGTGTCTCCGGACGGGCACGCGGACGCTAGACAATGGAAAGAGTTGCGTCGCAAAGACGATATCAGAGTATACAAGGAGCGATCTACAGCCTACGCATCGTCCGGATCGACGCTACCGTGCCTCCCTTCGCTGTTGCTATTGGGCACAGTTGTTGGCAAGCTGGAGGACGTACTGTTTGTAGCTGCAGCGGCTACTGAAGAGCAGATGAAGCTCACGTCCAGATGTCTACAAGATGGCGTGGTCGACAGCAAAGTGCTGCAGTCGATTGTGCAGCCGACGGACGACCACCCGTTCCGGCACGTCGGCGTTAAGTGGCGACTACACGACGCCCGGGACTACGTTTGTCTAGACACAACGGGCATCGCCACGAACTGTAATGGTGAGCAGCTCGGCTTTAGTATCTCGCACTCGGTCGCTTTCGCACAGGTCCCGAGCTTGGACAAGTTCGGGGTCGAGCGAGCGAACATGTCCGTGTGCTGTCTGTTCCGTCAAAAGACGCCAGAAACCGTCGAGTGCTACGCTCGAGGTTTCTTCGATTTTCGTAGCGATAGCAGCGAGTTACTTAATTCTTTGTCCATGAACGCGGTGGCCACACAGTGGCTAAGCGTTTCTAAATACGTGGAATGCGCCGAGATCAAGAAGATCGTGTGGCGCATGCGTAAAATCTCGGGTCTCCCGGTCAACGGCCCGATGGCTATTGAGCCGGTGGACGAGGCTTCGACACAGAACGCTACTGAGAAGAGCGGGAGTGGCTGCAGTGTCTGTGAACGCGGCTACGGCTTCCACCTGCGACGGACATGCAAGATCTGTCGGCGTGGCGTGTGCTCCAGCTGCAGCGTCAAGAAACTTGTGTGCGTCTTGGCGCCTGACCGCCGCACGGTATTGGACAAGAAACGCACATTTTGCTCCGTATGCATGTTAGAGGTGACCCGGAGCGACGCTGTGGCCATCGCGAGGGATGAGATTCGCGAGAAGAAGAGTTCAGAGCCACAGGACGATGAGCAACGTCCTACTGCAGTTTAGCTGCAATTAATAGTACCATAAGCGTGGGGAGGCCCAGTAGTCTTATACTTCGACTGTAGTCACGTTAATTTGAAACGAAGGCAGCTACACACAGGGGGTCCGAAAATGATATTGTTATTTATCGTAGTAGCATCTTCACGATAAATTATCGCGAAGCTAGCTTGTATGTTGGCAATACGTTATGATGCTTTAGCTACTGTAGAAGACCAATAAATAATTGAGTTACTGCTGCAATAACCAATGGTCAGTTTTGCAACGGACTGAGGCTCGAAGAGTCAAAGGACAACTGCTAAATGTCGGTTTCCCGATCGCGGTAGAGGTAGAGAGAATAGCTGAGCTCATTTCGAAACCTCATAGATAGCGCGCAACCCGCCACTCCTCACCCGCGGACGAAGAAAAATATGTATATTTTCCCCACTCGCACACGATTGTTGGAAAGGTTTATTGAATCAATAACAGGTATCTACGCTCGAGTTGCTGTGTCAAGTGTTTGTGCGTCCCAGTAACCAGCATTTCCGCGCAGGAACAGAATCATTTCTAACGTGGGAAGTGAGGGAAAAGAAAATGAGTCTGCTGAGATCAGCCGATTCGGCAACAAAACGACTGGTTCGTGGCGATCGATTGACTGCTGCAGATAACTTCAAGAAACTGTACGCATAAATTACCGTATGCACCATAAATTATGCACGAGCGTGACAACATAAATAATGTCTGCTTATTGATTGAATTACTGTGTCGTCAATTTTTTTTTCGGGGGCCCTGCCTACACATGTAAAATACAAGATGATAAGATGGTTGGTTGAAGACATGAATGCTGGACTGGACTTAATCTTGATAGCCCGTCGAGGCTTACAGCAGGTTCGGTCGTACGTGGACGCTTTGCCGCTCCAACCCAACGACGCAGAGCAGAATTCTAGTGCAGATCTTTGTCCGGGCCAGATTTCGGAAGATGATCAAAAGTCTAGTAGGCACGCTGGTCTGGGGCTCAAGAATCAAAGTGATTATGGAGCTCACTGTCCCGCAGAGATTGATAGCGGGAATTGAAGTCCTCGTGCTGCTAATACAATTCGCAACTACAAGTTTACGCTGTTTCACCAAAACATCTTCTAGTGGTAACGCTGGGAATACATGTTCCGCTTTTTTTTCATTGTATATCTGCGCTAACGTTATGCCACACGCTTGATGTAATAAAAAAAACTGCTCCGCGAACCCTTTTAATTCCTAACAGGTATTAATAAAAGTCGGTCGCAGGCTCCGGACAGGCCTTTATTTGCCTGAGTCCATTAATTACCGAAATAGAATAACTTTTTTTAAGTCTGGTGACTCGTGGCCTTCATAAAGTCGCCTGAAGAATTGACTTTTCTACTTGTGATTATTCTCTGCTTTTTTTTTCTTTAAAAAGAAGTCCACGCAGAAATACTTTGGCTTTACAGTTTGACAGTGGTAATCGACGTATACACAGCTTTCAAGCAGGTGTAACAACCCGATTTGTTTGCTTATGAATGACTTGATTTGAAGTTTGGAACGTTGTTCTGAGAAGATTCAGCTAAATTCGCTGCATACAGATCGCGCAACAAAATAAAATCGCTCTGCGGTAAGCGTTGCGTCTTTCTTGGCTTCGATGATGCCGTACCAGCGAGCGTTCATATCCATCAGCTTGCTCAACTGTAGTTGCGTTTGCTTGTTTAAAATAAATATTTGCAAAATATCAAAGCTACATGTGATAATTAGCCAAATGCGATTATGAGGCTTCCCGCAATCTGATTGGCTCCACTTTCTTCTAACAAAACTTAAAATAATCTAGTCGTGCTTCCCAATTAGTCGTGTATCGTACTTAAAGGAAGTAGTATGGTACTAGTACCGTATTTAGTCAAATAGACATTTGCATATTTAAGCGTGCACACCAACCAGTCGTTGACTCCATCCGTTGTCAGCGCGTTAAGGCACCTCACAAAGCCCGTCATATTCATTTCAGCACAGCGGACACGTTGTGGACGACGGAGTGAAGCGTGCGCTGCAGCATGTCGTCGGAATCCGCGATAGAGTGAAGGTCGTCGAATGGATGGCTTTGTACGCTGCAGAGAACGGAGAGAAGGGGCTTGCCTGTAAGGCGGTTGACGAGTTTCCGTCGCTTTTCCGCTCGAGCGACCGTCGTGTGAATCTCATGAAGGCAAGGGACTGGTGGAGAAAGAGAACGACGGAGAACAACCGCGAGGACCCAGACGTCACGGCTCGTAAATACACACACAGTGGGGCAGAAAACAGGCACCAGTTTATAGTCAAGGCAGAGCAAGGTCGAGGTCCTAAGCTAGACGAGCACTGGTTGTGGCTGTATCCAATCCTTCTGACTAATTTGAGCGTCTACGAAAGGCTGGTGTCAAGATGTCCACACGCCTGCTTCAAGACATTGCCGTCACGATGATTGAGGAGAGCCAGCACGCAAAGTACAACAATGGGTTTCGATTTAATGACAATATGTTTTCTAGTTTAGCTACCCCACGACGCATTCAACACTTTACGGACCGGTTCAATTTTGTCTATCGTCGTTTGAAAGGCAAGAAGCAAGCCAGTGCCGAAACAGCGAGAGATTCACATCAGTGTCGCTACCTACCTAGGCGAATCGAAGCGTCTTTTAAGTGACAATCTCATCAACCCTAGTCTCCAGTTCAACATGGACGAAAGTCACTTCGTCATCGACCTCGATGACGAACAAACACTAGACTTTCGCGGTTCGAAGCACGTCAAATACCGCAGTATTGTTTCAGGTAGGTAATGTGGCATGTGTCATCATTTTAAATGTGTAACTAGTTTTGTATGCTTTTTATCGTAGGACGTGAAGAAATCACCATATGTGTACTACTTAGAGGCGGCAGCAACGCAAGGATTATGTGCCCCACACACTTAATTTCAGAAAAAGGGCGCCAATTCCCAAAATTCAAGGTCTCCCAGACTCCGTCGACGGGGTTTCTTACCGCTCTTCGCCGACAGCGTTCATCAACAGCTCGATTATGCAGCAATGGCTTCGTGAAGCGCGGTGTTGGGGACCAGGGGGGCGGGGCATTTGCTGGCGAGCGCACTCTTTGAATGGACAACTCAAGTGGGCACAGTGGTGATGACGTTATCAAAGTTGCGCGCGAACTCCGTACGCATGTACGATTTTTTCCTCCAAACGCTACAGACTTAGTGCAACCTGCCGATAGGCTCCCAATTCAACGTATTAAGGAGCACTGGAGGCGCCTTTGCGAGAAATGCAACACGCAAGCTATTCAGCGCGGGGATTGGCGCCAAGGCTCAGGTGCTCTGCTCAACCCAGGCAAAAAAGTCTTATTACAGACTGCTGCAGAATGCGTGCGCCTCGTGAATGATGAGTGCAATAAAATGGTGCTAACTGGGCGAAGAGGTCTATGGTGCTGTGCGGGTTGGACATCGGAGCTGACGGGATCTGGAAAGTTGAGCAGCTTGGTAAAGACTTGCAAGAAGTTATCGCTGAGTACTCGGACGCGTTCAACAATGGATATGAGCAAGCAGCTCAGTCGATTAGTTTGTGACTACATGTAGCTTTTCTGGCAATTCACCTTAATTAGTCATGCCCCACGAATAGAAGTACACCTGATTTAGTCATCCCAGATTTCGTACTTGCTTTCCTTACACCGCAATTAGTCAGGGTATGACTAAATAGCGTGAAGGGTGTACTTGACGTACTGTATTCCTTATGTGATTAGCAATAGTCATATTTCCCAGTCTATCCGCCAGCATTTAGGCATAGAAAAAATGTGACGTGTGCAAAACAAAATGCAACGTGTGCAAAAAATTATTACAGTAAAATGTCGCTATCCGACGACGACAACATTTCGTCAACGGTGTCCTCTACCAAAGTTGCAGGGCATACACAAGCTTCAAACCTTGTCAAGGATAGCAGCAATAGAGTGGCTGATCTCTTATGCATAAGGACCAACCAGATCTCCACAATTTACACAATGCTTTAGCGAAGCACAGGATGACCAGCCCAGGCATTACGCAGAGCTTAGTGAAAATCCATCATGCATAACAAAAAACCTGTTGACATCAGCGCCATCCAGCCAAAACAAAGTAACATAGGCCGCCAAAGACAAGAGAAGCTTTCGGCATGAGTTAGATTAGACGAGAGTCCTCCCAATGCAACTTACCAGCAAACCCAATAGGCGATAATTTTATGGGCCGTCCACCAGTTCCCTCGTGCGTCTTCCGTTGCCTGAATACAGCACAAACAGGGCTCCCGATAATGGCATTAATCGCAGCTCAAATTTCAAGGCTCCCATACATTATGCACTTAAATTCGAGAAACCCGTCCATTCATACTGGTCATTAACTCTATCACTACCGGACCCCTCCTTTGTGGACATTACACCATCCTCAGTTTTAACCAATGCAAACTATCTATTTTGATTCTTTTCGGTCAATCGGCATGCGTGCTGCCCATCGATGAAGTCAGAGTTCCACTTTGTAATAGAACATGTACGGCAGTGCATGTGGTGGTAGTCATATTGGGAGCTTCACGGTACTTTGGGCATTTCCGCTTTCTGTGGTCCACGGTAATCTAGAATCATCACACGCACCGTCATTTGTTCGCCACTATGCTCTGCGATAAGTGCTGTAAAGACCCATGTGATTGGGAGACGTACGGAGAGGTGCTACGCGAGAGCAGAAGGCGTCTTCGTGATATCTACAGTGTTCCGCACCCCCGACGTCTGATGAAGACTTTGCCCCATGGGTACTTCTATTTCAAATTTGGTCGTCTCGACGCCGATGCAGCGCAACACTTTCCTGTGTGCGTAAGCTTATTCATACTAAACTGTCAATCTATCGTTTATACCATTCCTAACATAAAATCGCTATTTGGCCCAGGCGTCGAGATCTTCAGCTTCTCCATCGCGGATGTGTTCATGAGACAGTGAGAGTTGCGCGGACAGCTAATCACTCTCACAAGGAAAAATGGTGGATCTCGCACGCATAGTGAGTAG